TGCTGGCCCGAGGCCCTGTTCCAGGTGAGACGATGGCCTCTACTGCACAGCTGGTACCACTCACACCTGGTCGAGGGATCGGTTCCTGTACCTTGTCTTCCCCACTTCTCAGCTTGCTTCTAATAGTTTCTGCATCAAAAGAAAGTGGATTAAGCTAACGGCAGTGCTGAGTTAATCCGGAGGTGCTGTATGCATTCACGTGTCATTGGTTCAGCTTGTCAGAAAGCCCACTTGGAGATCACCCTTTCACAGAGAGCTGGCCTCTGGAAGGGAGGCGAAGCCACAGTTGGGGTCAGGTGCCTGCCCCGGGACAGGCACTTCTCTTCTCTGGGCCTCCGTTAGCTTCCTTGTGTGGAGAGTGGGGACTGTCACCCCTGCCATGTGTGTGTTTGGGATGGATACAAGTGCGGAGAGGCCCGTGTCCACCTCTTGGCGTGTTCGCTCTTTACGTTGGTCCTGACTTTTTACTTTTATTTTTCTATTTGTATTTCTGAGGGAAGATTCAGGCTGTAAATAAATAACATACTCTGTCTTCCTTAGATCCCGGTGCTCCTGTGGGCTTTGTGCTTGGGGTAGACCTTCTCCACATCTTCCCCCTGGAGGGGGCAACTTTTCTGTCCCCCGCTGACGTGACTGACCCCAGAACCGTCCAGAGAGTCCAAGAGCTGCTTCCTGGCGGGAGAGCAGATGTCATTCTGAGTGACATGGCACCCAATGCCACAGGGATCCGGAGCCTGGATCACGACAGGCTCATTAGCCTGTGCTGGTCCCTTCTGGACGTGGCTCCAGATGTTCTGCACCCCGGCGGAACGTTCCTCTGCAAAACGTGGGCTGGAAGTCAAAGCCTTGGGTTACAGAAGAGACTGGCCGAGCAGTTCCAGAACACCAGGACTGTGAAGCCTAGAGCCAGCAGGAAGGAATCTTCAGAGGTGTACCTCTTGGCCACACAGTACCGAAGAGCGAAGGGGCCTGTGGAGGACTGAGGGCTGCCTCTGCCATTTGTGGTCCTCGTTCACTGCAAGTGTGGTCTGAGCTCTTTCCTGGAGTGTGGCTGGAGGGGTCAGAGCTTGATCCGGGACGTGGCTGGCAGGACGAGGGTGGGACCTTTCTTTGAAACACAGTGTATTCACTGGTCACGATACATGATAAAAACCAGTCCCTAAGTGACCTTAGGTGCAGAGGAAGGATGAAAAGACAGTGGGAAGGAGAAACCTTGATGTAACACTGGACTCAACTGGCTGTTCACTTGTAACAGAGTTTCCACCATTGCTCCCAGAAGGCAACACCCAGGCTGTGGTTATACAGTGTAGCGAATGCGAATGAAAATCTGAAATTTTGACCTGGGGGTTAATTTCCATCTCTCTGGTGAATGGTGTGGAAATTAATACTTTCAAGCAACCGGAACCGGGGGCAGTTATGGAAGACATTTCATGTGAATTTTGCAGGGGGTGGTGTGCTTGTTTTGTTGCTGGAGATCCGCCTTGCTGTAATACTCCAGGCCCCTAAGACTGGAGTTGCCAAAGCAAGCAGCCACGTGGAGTGCTGTATTTCCTTTTACTCTCTTCCAGGAACTTGATGCAGCTTTATAAAACAATGTAGATTGTGTTTATTTAAGGGATTTCCATGCTTTGAAGTTTGTTTCTATAAAAATTGTTTTTTTCAAAGCTACTTGTCATTAAAAAAGGGGGGGGGGCGCCTGGGTGGCTCAGTCGGTTAAAGGATCCAACTTCAGCTCAGGTCAGATCTCTCGGTTCTTAAGTTCCAGCCCGGGGTTGGGCTCTGTGCTGACAGCTCAGAGCCTGGATCCTGCTTGGGATTCTGTGTCTCTCTCTTTCTGCCCCTCCCCTCGCTCATGCTCTGTCTCTCTCTCTCTCTCAAAAATAAACATTTAAGAAAAAAAGCCATTTCCTGCAGGGGTGCTCATCCCTTAATAAGAGTGTATGGACTATAACCCTGATTAAATCCTGAGGGTGGAGCTGAGGGAGAGCCTGGGTAGACAGGGAACCCCACAATCTCCATCAGTCCCCCAGGGTGCAGTCCAGCGCTCTGAAGTGGGCTGCAGGCTTGGTTTTAACCTTTTTTCATTTTACTTTTGGCTGTAGTCAATTAGGACGGGAAAATCCCCCCCACTTCCTCAGGGCTCCTCCCCACCCCATTTCTTGCGCGGGGTGCTGTTCCGGAGATGGGGCGGGACCGGGAAGAGGTGCCGACCCTTAGAGCACTGGGCAGATCAGAGATGGGGGAGGTGCAGACCCTAGTGGGCGTGGTGTAGACGCTGGGTACGATGCAGACCCTCCCGAGCGCGGTGCAGACCCTAGGGCGCTCGGTCCCGGGTGGGGTGTGAGCCTGGAGGACGAGGTTCAGGAGGGAGCGAGACCTGTGTTACTGGACGATGATCGCTGGCTATGGGAGCTCACAGGGCGCTGGGAGGGTAGCCTAGAAGCAGAGTATTTTGCCTTTCCAGTGGACCCTGTGGAAACTAAAAACATATTCAAGCTAATACCGTAACGAAATTTTGGGAGTTGTCAGAGCCAGCAAGTTTGTCCCGAAGAGGCCACCGTTGGGCCGTGCTATTCCACACAATACGGTGCCAGGCCACCGCCACAGCGGAGGCCCGTCCCGCGCGGGAAGGCTGGCACCCCGACAGTCCCGCGGGCCGACCTTTGGTGCGAGTCCTGCCAGGGCGGTGTCAAGGGAGCGAACCGCTCCGGGGAGCAGGCGGAGGTCCCCGGCCCCGCTGATGCTCGGACTCAGGGATTTACGGCCGGCCCTGCCCAGGTCTCGCGAGAGCGCGGAGGCACTTCTCGCGATACGCGGGCGCGGGCGCAGAGGAGGGAGATCTGAGCGGCGGCCGCGGCGAGCGGCGGGCTAGCTGAGGTGAGCGGCGGGGCGTCAGGGTCCGGGGTGGGCTTCGGGCGGGGTAGAGGAGCCAGGTTGGGCGCGGGTGGCGCCCCCTCCCCCTGCCCACTGGTCTCCTCCCTCCTGCCCCCCTCTCGCGCTCGGTCTTCGGAGCCGGGCCGGGGTGCTACCCGAAGCCGGGGTCTAGGGAGCGGGGGGCCGGGGTGCAAGCCGGGAGCGGGGGCCTCGGAGAGGAGTCGGCGTCGTCGGAGCCGGGGTCCTGGGAACGGGGATCGGGGTGAGAGCGGGGCCGAGGTCCTGGGAGCTGGCGTCCCCGGTGCCGGGATGCGAGCCGGGACCGGGGTCCTCGGAGCCGGGGTCCTCGCAGCTGGGGCTCGGGTGCGAGTCGGGACCGGGGTCCTCGGAGCCGAGGTGCTGGGAGCGGGAGCCGGGGTCTTAGGAGCTGGGGCTGAGGTGCGAACCCGGGCCGGGGTCCGGACGGGGTCCCTGGCGGTGGCGTCTAGGGGCGGGGCTTACCCCCACCCAGCGTCTGGCTGGGAAGCTGCACCGGCCCGCGTGCTGTCACCCGCGCCTCTTCTAGCGGAGCGTGCTGCAGCCCCCGAAGGCCCCGGAGGCCAGGGCGGGCCGGGGGCGACGCACGTGTGCCCGGAGTTTGCGCGGAAGGTCCCCCCGGGCGGTGTCCTGGCCGAGAAGGGCAGCTGACAGGCGGCGCACAGCCTGGGGGTGTGGAGTCTGTGGGATAAAGGGGATGGAGTGGAGGCTGCTGCCTGATCGCGTGCCTCGTGTAGTGGCCCAGTTACAGGCGGTTGACACCGCGTGTGTTCCCTTGGTTCCAGTGCATCCCAGGCATCCGTTCTTGCACAGGCTTGCAAGTTTCTCATGGGGGGATGGAGAGGATGGCCCCGGGCTGACCTTGGCAGACCTAAGGGTTTGCTTCCAGAGCAGAGCTCGGCTGTCTGCCGCCGCTGTCAGCACTGAGCGCTTGCCCTGTTCTTGCAGTCCCCTTTTCCCTCCCAGTGCGATTGAGAGTTGGTGAGGACAGCCGTGTTGTCCAGGGGCGGACACAGGGCCTGCACAGGAGAAGGGCTCTGTGTGCAGAGGGCCAAGGTTCTCCTACAGGAAACTCACAACCAAACTAAGATTTCTCAGTCTCTTCCGCTGGGGTGTTGGCGGGGAGGCGTTTTCAGTCTGGTACCTGGGGGAAGTCCCTGCGAGCCAGCCTGTTTCCCGAAGGGGACACGGTGTGCACCTGTAGCAGTCCACACCTGTGCCCGCTGGTGGATGGGGGGGCGGGCCGGCCGCGTGAAGCCACAGTCCCTTGCGTTCGGGGATGCGGCTCCTTGGTCTTGTTCGCGCGTTGGCTCGTGGAGCACAAACTGGACCTGAGAGCCAGGCGGGCCTGGGATCCGGTCCATTCTGTAGCTTCTGAAGCCTCGCTTTCTCACGTCTCACACGTGTGCAAACACCTAGTTCGCCCGTTGTGAAGTCTGAGGTGTCCTGTGAGAAGTTACAGGCGGAGTGACGATCTGGCATGACTCACCCCTGCCTTCTGGAAACTTAGGACAGTCACCGTAATCCTCACGGCAGCTTTGCAAAGAGGCTTTCCTGGTCCTCAGTTTACAGATGAGGAAACCGAGGCTCGAGAAGGCTCAGTGCTCAGCGTCACGTAGGTTTCTTTTTGGTCGAAACTAGCAATGCCTATTAAGGTCATTGTTAGCGGTGATTACGGTTAGCGTCGCTGGGGTCGCCAGCCCTCGCCACTGCGGCCTGCTTTGGTCCTCGTTCCCAGAGGCTGGGTCTTTTGTGTTCACGGGGCCATGTGCCGTGGGACTGCTGGGCATCTTTTTCTGGGAGCCATCTGTCCGTCGCTGGTGTGCAGGTCAGCACCGTGACAGCGGCTCAGCGGCATGGTCTTCTGATGCCTCTGTTTGTTCTCTGGTCAAGTGGCAGTGTGGGCTCCCGCTTGGCCCCGGAAATGTGGTTATGGGCTCAGGAGTGCTGTGAGCACTGTGAGCGTCGGGAGGGCGGGGCTTCCCAGAGGCACCCCCCCCCCCCCCCCCCCCCCGGCGCTGGTGCAGCTAATGGTGCCTGCAGACGCTCACCGTGGGCCCTCCCCGTCTTCCTGCAGAAGCCAAGTGGCCATGGATGACCTGGGGGAGAACACCACGGTGCTGTCCACCCTGAGGTCTTTGAACAACTTCATTTCTCAGCGGGTGGAGGCAGGATCTGGACTGGACGCTCCCGCCTCCGCCCAGGGCTCTCTGCAGATGCAGTACCAGGAGAGCATGCAGGTGAGCGCCCCCGGCGGGAGGGGCTCCGCGGGAGGGGCTCCAGGGCTCCAGGTGGGAAGACACACGCCTTAGGTGGGGCCTGTGCCGG